GGTACTTCCACAGTACATCCCTTACCACAGTACACCCCAACTCCAGTACATCCCCGGGGCTAGTACATCCACAGTACATTCCCGACTCCAGTACATTCGCGACCAAAGTACATCCCCGGCCCAAGTATATTCCCGGCCCTAGTAAAATCACAGTTTATCCACAGTCTCAGTACATCTACGGCCCTAGTATATCCACAGTACATCCCCGGCCCCAGTATATCCACAGTGCATCCCCGGCCCCAGTATATCCACAGTACATCCTTAGTCTCAGTACATCCCCGGCCCAGTACATCCCCGGCCCCAATATATCCACAGTACATCCCCGGCCCCAGTTTTTCTACAGTACACCCTTAGTCCCAGGACATCCCCGGCCCAGTACATCCCCGGCCCCAGTATATCCACAGTACATCCACTGTCTCAGTACATCTACAGTCTCAGTGCTCAGATTGGTTGCATCGTACGGCATTAGGAGTCCATATTTAAACCGATGCGACCTCAGCGTGGAGGGGCCATCAAGACCAGTTCGGCGCTGGTTAATATGTAGATTTTACATCCTCTTCAAAATACAACCGATACCCGACACAGCATACATCAGTTTTATTACGTACTAGATAAGGAGTAGTATAGACTTCACTACATACCAGATAAGGAGTAGTATAGACTTCACTACATACCAGATAAGGGTACTATAGACTTCACTACATACCAGATAAGGAGTAGTATAGACTTCACTACATACCAGACAAGGAGTAGTATAGACTTCACTACATACCAGATAAGGGTACTATAGACTTCACTACATAACAGATAAGGAGTAGTATAGACTTCCTACATACCAGACAAGGGTACTATAGACTTCACTACATACCAGACAAGGAGTAGTATAGACTTCACTACATACCAGACAAGGAGTAGTATAGACTTCACTACATACCAGATAAGGAGTAGTATAGACTTCACTACATACCAGACAAGGGTCACTATAACCTTCACTACATACCAGTCAAGGGTACTATAACCTTCACTACATACCAGACAAGGGTACTACAGACTTCACTACATACCAGACAAGGGTACTATAGACTTCACTACATACCAGACAAGGGTACTATAGACTTCACTACATACCAGACAAGGGTACTATAGACTTCACTACATACCAGACAAGGGTACTACAGACTTCACTACATACCAGACAAGGGTACTACAGACTTCACTACATACCAGATGATGGGGTACTATAACCTTCACTACATACCAGACAAGGGTACTATAGACTTCACTACATACCAGACAAGGAGTAGTATAGACTTCACTACATACCAGACAAGGGTACTATAACCTTCACTACATACCAGACAAGGGTACTACAGACTTCACAACATACCAGACAAGGGTACTATAACCATCACTACATACCAGTCAAGGGTACTATAACCTTCACTACATACCAGTCAAGGGTACTATAACCTTCACTACATACCAGACAAGGGTACCACAGACTTCACTACATACCAGACAAGGGTACTATAGACTTCACTACATACCAGACAAGGGTACTATAGACTTCACTACATACCAGACAAGGGTACTATAGACTTCACTACATACCAGACAAGGGTACTACAGACTTCACTACTTACCAGACAAGGGTACTACAGACTTCACTACATACCAGATGATGGGGTACTATAACCTTCACTACATACCAGACAAGGGTACTATAACCATCACTACATACCAGTCAAGGGTACTATAACCTTCACTACATACCAGTCAAGGGTACTATAACCTTCACTACATACCAGACAAGGGTACCACAGACTTCACTACATACCAGACAAGGGTACTATAGACTTCACTACATACCAGACAAGGGTACTACAGACTTCACTACATACCAGACAAGGGTACTACAGACTTCCTACATTCCAGGCAAGGGTACTATAGACTTCACTACATACCAGACAAGGGGAACTATAGACAGACTTCCTACATACCAGACAAGGGGTACTATAGACAGACAGACTTCCTACATACCAGACAAGGGGTACTATAGACAGACTTCCTACATACCAGACAAGGAGTACTATAGACAGACAGACTTCCTACATACCAGACAAGGGGTACTATAGACAGACTTCCTACATACCAGACAAGGAGTACTATAGACAGACTTCTACATACCAGACAAGGAGTACTATAGACAGACATCTACAGACCAGACAAGGAGTAATATAGACCTCACTACATACCAGACAAGGGTATTATAGACAGACTTCACTACATACCAGACAAGGGTACTATAGACTTCCTACATACCAGACAAGGGGTACTATAGACAGACCTCCTACATACCAGACAAGGGTACTATAGACTTCCTACATACAAGACAAGGGGTACTATAGACAGACTTCCTACATACCAGACAAGGAGTACTATAGACAGACTTCACTACATACCAGACAAGGGTACTATAGACAGACTTCACTACATACCAGACAAGGGGAACTATAGACAGACTTCACTACATACCAGACAAGGGGAACTATAGACAGACTTCACTACATACCAGACAAGGGGAACTATAGACAGACTTGACTACATACCAGACAAGGGGTACTATAGACAGACTTCACTACATACCAGACAAGGGTACTATAGACTTGACTACATACCAGACAAGGGAACTACAGACAGACTTCCTACATACCAGACAAGGGGAACTATAGACAGACCTCCTACATACAAGGCAAGGGGAACTATAGATAGACTTCACTACATACCAGACAAGGGGAACTATAGACATACTTCCTACATACCAGACAAGGAGTACTATAGACAGACTTCCTACATACCAGACAAGGGGAACTATTGAAAAACTTCCTACATACAAGACGAGGGGAACTATAGACAGACTTCACTACATACCAGACAAGGGTACTATAGACAGACTTCACTACATACCAGACAAGGGGAACTATAGACAGACTTCACTACATACCAGACAAGGGTACTATAGACAGACTTCACTACATACCAGACAAGGGGAACTATAGACAGACTTCCTACATACCAGACAAGGGGAACTATAGACAGACTTCACTACATACCAGACAAGGGGAACTATAGACAGACTTCACTACATACCAGACAAGGGGAACTATAGACAGACTTCCTACATACCAGACAAGGGGAACTATAGACAGACTTCACTACATACCAGACAAGGGGAACTATAGACAGACTTCCTACATACCAGACAAGGGGAACTATAGATAGACTTCCTACATACCAGACAAGGGGTACTATAGACAGACTTCACCACATACCAGACAAGGGGTACTATAGACAGACTTCACCACATACCAGACAAGGGGAACTATAGACAGACTTCCTACATACCAGACAAGGGGAACTATAGACAGACTTCCTACATACCAGACAAGGGGTACTATAGACAGACAGACTTCCTACATACCAGACAAGGGGTACTATAGACGGACAGACTTCCTACATACCAGACAAGGGGTACTATAGACAGACTTCCTACATACCAGACAAGGAGTACTATAGACAGACAGACTTCCTACATACCAGACAAGGGGTACTATAGACAGACTTCCTACATACCAGACAAGGAGTACTATAGACAGACTTCACTACATACCAGACAAGGGGTACTATAGACAGACTTCCTACATACCAGACAAGGAGTACTATAGACAGACAGACTTCCTACATACCAGACAAGGGGTACTACAGACAGACTTCCTACATACCAGACAAGGAGTACTATAGACAGACTTCACTACATACCAGACAAGGGGTACTATAGACAGACTTCATACATACCAGACAAGGGGAACTATAGACAGACTTCCTACGTACCAGACAAGGAGTACTATAGACAGACTTCACTACATACAAGGCAAGGGGAACTATAGACAGACTTCACTACATACCAGACAAGGGGAACTATAGACAGACTTCACTACATACCAGACAAGGGGTACTATAGACAGACTTCCTACATACCAGACAAGGGGTACTATAGACATACTTCCTACATACCAGACAAGGGGTACTATAGACAGACTTCCTACATACCAGACAAGGGGTACTATAGACATACTTCCTACATACCAGACAAGGGGTACTACAGATGGACTTCGAGCCATGAAGATCCGGGTTAGAATTGGTCTTCAGCAACCCATGTTTGTCGTAAGAGGCGACAAACGGGATCGGGTGGACAGACTTGATTACTTACATATTGCTGAGTGCTGCGTTAAACAGCAAAGATGGAAAGAATGAAAGATACACTTCAATACATAACAGACAAGGCTTTATAGATAGAGATTTTGAGAGTTACGCAATACATAGATACTTATAAAAATATGTATCATTGACCCACGTGTACAAACATCATGGTAGCGGAGGCTAGACTAACATATAGTCTGTGAAATCTTTTACAACACAATACAGTTCTCTGATCTAAAATTAACAAATATTTTTATTCTGAAATAATTTTCCTGATACTGATTTCATAGTAGTGCCTAGAGCTGGCTAGAATTGCTTTTATTTGTGTCTAGATTGGTTCTATTTTCATAAAATACATACATTCCATACATGGAGCAGGCCTCAGCGGAGACGGAAAAATATAGATGTGATTTCTTATTAAAAAAGTCTGTCCATGTATTCTTAAAGCCATCGCCCTAACAATGACGAATTTACGAACTGTATCTACGCATACTATATTGATATTGTCAATGCATATCACACTCTCCAGGTGATTTATAGCTGTTTATAGGGGAACTTATAACCCTGGGAAGCACGCGACTGTTTCGACGGCTCAGCGTGTGTCAGACGGTAACAGACAGGCGACGCCATTACCAGTTGTCTTTGAGTGCTGTGCTTGATCAACCCTACAACCATAAATGAACTCTCCCAAACCTGAGTGCGGAAGGGTTCATTGAGGTGAGCATAGGTAGCGCAGGAACACGCGCCGTTCTCTCCTCAGTATCACATTTCGCACTGTACTCGGAGAAGGAGGAACCTCCATGTGGGCAACTTTCGCCAACTTTTGACTGTTTTGAAATGACTGTGCAGTTGTAACACCATGTCGGAGTCGGTCGACTTGGAGGTACCTCCGTCCCCGGGGACCCCGACCCCGTCCCCCCAGGGCGGTAAAACAGGGCGTGGCGTAGTGAGGAAAAGAAGCGTCCGAGTAAGTATGTAGTGTACATGTTCCGTCTAGGTTTGTATTGGAGATGTAAACACGTCTGCTGTGCTAGATGGGAGTGCGCGCATTCTTTAAACTGCTTCCTAAATACGACATTTGAAACTACTTAGTGTACGACGTTGACGATGGGGTGTGTGCGTTTGTTTGAACGACGATGTGCAACTCAGGACATAGTTAATTACGCAATTGAACATACTACTCAAATGTCGATAGGGATATCCCCGTGCACAGGACCATGTAACTAATAATAATTATAAACAAACTTTGTTGTTGTTGTTGTTATTATTATTATTATTAGTTACATGGCCCTGTGTCCCGTGATTACATGATACACCCAGCTGATTGCTTATAACACTCTCTATGTAAACAGGGTGTCAATCTCAGCACCGATATCAACGCTTATATCACATATCAGGTTCCTGAAGATATATGTAGTATGCACGTCTCTGCTGTACATGGCCTCTGGTTAATGGACAGTAAATCAAATCGAAAGGGTCTCTTCAGAATACTATACTTCAGATGCAAACATTCACGAATTTTATGACACAATTCCATTTTCTCTGCTACGGTTATCGGTTTGTAAATGGGCAGGAACGTATACGCTAGCGCAGTCCCCTCAGCGGTAGCCTTGCTCCAAGGCTGCACTGAAAGAAAAGTTCATGGAAGTGTAGTACTTATATCCTCCTCATGGGCAAGTCTAGATATGTGGACAGTACTTCAGTTCTCTTATAGGGGCAACTTATTATTATTTACAAAATCTAGAATTTATTATTTAAACTAATAATTATTGCCTCAAGACTCGTGCAAGTCTACCTCAGCTGTGGAGCTGTGTAACTCCGGCTTGTCAGTCAAACTGCTTCTCGTTCACAGGCACGCATATGCAGACCTTTGTTCCTGTTTATACATTCCGTGTCCATACCCAACTTAATCATCTCAAGCGATCTCTTCTCCCTGGAACAATGCTATAGAAGAACGACATGTTTATGTTACAGGTATTAAATCCGGGACTAGTTCAATAACAGTTTATATTTTGACGGCGAGGCTTATTACTGCGGTGTCCTATCGCTCTGGGTCAGTTCCCAGGTTAATCGTGTAATTAAGACACTCCTTCCTCCTCGCTCGCTCGCCCTGCGAAGTCGGGCCCTAGGCAATTAGTGCTGTTAAATATGTGAAAGAAAAATATGTTACTGATTGCACTTATGTTGTAATATGGGTATATTTGTACATTTTGGACATGTAATATTTGTTGTTGAGTAAGCGTAGCGCTAAATGAAGACTTTGTAGTTTTGATCCATCATAAAAGCTATATTTATATCTTAATCTAAGGGGCACGGGTGTCCCAGTCGTCTAAGGCGCCGCGGTTCGCTGTGCAGAGTTGCGTCGCTTGGGCACGCCAGTAACCTATGATTGTGGGTTCGAATCCCGGTTCGCCCCAATTATGTTTCTATACCATACCCGTGCTCGCGGGTTTCACCGAAGTGGTAAACCTCTGAGACCTGCATCACTTCGGGCTTTCCTCCCACGAGCTGACACGCCGTGATATAACTGGAATACTGTTAAAAGCGGCGTTAAACCCAACTCACTCACTCACTCTTAATCTAAATTCTTTGTGAAACGGAGGTTCCGAAAATAAAGCCTTTACTAACATAGATATGATAGCCAATGTTCAGAGACAAACAGCATGTGTAACTCTTAGTTTACCAGTAATTCAGGATAAGTTGACCCAACTCACAAAATGCGTTTGAAAAGTAGGCGGTGCACATAATTTGGGCAAACATATTTGGTTTGTTTCGGTGTAGATAGGGTGTAGGCATGTTATGCACGTGCAGGTCATGACGATGAAAGTAAACGTGGGCACACGTGTTGCTCGTGAGACTATTAAGAGGTCAGTGTGACAAGTCGGTACCAGAATTCTCTAACAGTCGTTTGGTAGAAGTTCATTACAGACAATTAAACATGTCAAAGCTAGGTAAGCGTGGGCAAATCATACATGCTCAGGCTGGAGAACTGGCCTATAATTCAATAAATTACATAGAGAAAGAACGTACAAGTAAATATCAAGCATTGCGTGTGGTCTGTCGGTATCTACGCTAAAGCGCATCAGAGGAGAATGTGAAGACTAGTGCTATATCCACTTATCTCAATATGAATCCAGCTAGCAATATTACGTTTACAGTATTCTGAAGCCCTGTAAACAATCACATGGGATTAATAATCGCGGACCACCCGCTACCCCTTTCTTCACAATGGTACGCGCCAGCAGGCGGACCCCATACAATGGTACGGGTTTAATTGTCAGGTCACATATCAACTTATCCTGGCCTACCAGTAGTTCTGTCACTGGTATTCGATAAAACCTACATATCTGACCACTTGAATCTGTTGGAATTTAGACTTTATTTGTATGACTTATATTTGAAACCGAAAGCGTGAATTGTAGAATTAATTTTTGTTGAGGATCAAGTTCTTGTAATATGAAAATATTCATCCAACAAATAAACGTTCAACTATTCCGGTACACAATGATTGGGTAACCCCTGTAGGACCTCAGTTTCATGGTGAACGGACAGAGGCATGCTGTCATGGGCACGATGTGCTTGAAAACATGTGTTTGGGTGTATTGTGACAGAATCGTTGAACATCATTATCAGAGAGCAGAACATTTGCTTATTTATATAACCATGTGGAAACAGAGCCGTACACAGATAATTTTCTATGCCAATGAAAGCCTGTCATAAGAGAGTCGTGCACAGATCAGTATCTATGCCAATGTAAAGCCTGTGGTATACACAGATCGTTATCTATGCCAATGTAAGCCTGTGGTATACACAGATCATTGTCTTTGCCAATGTAAGCCTGTGGTATACACAGATCATTGTCTATGCCAATGTAAGCCTGTGGTATACACAGATCTTTGTCTATGCCAATGTAAGCCTGTGGTATACACAGATCGTTATCTATACCAATGTAACCCTGTGGTATACACAGATCGTTATCTATGTCAATGTAACCCTGTGGTATACACAGATCATTGTCTATGCCAATGTAACCCTGTGGTATTCACAGATCGTTATATATGTCAATGTAACCCTGTGGTATACACAGATCGTTATATATGTCAATGTAACCCTGTGGTATACACAGATCGTTATCTAGGCCAATGTAAGCCTGTGGTATACACAGATCGTTATCTATGCCAATGAAAGCCTCTGGTATACACAGATCGTTATCTATGCCAATGTAAGCCTGTGGTATACACAGATCGTTATCTATGCCAATGTAAGCCTGTGGTATATACAGATCGCTATCTATGCCAATGTAAGCCTGTGGTATACACAGATCGTTATCTATGCCAATGTAAGCCTGTGGTATACACAGATCGTTATCTATGCCAATGTAAGCCTGTGGTATACACAGATCGTTATCTATGCCAATGTAAGCCTGTGGTATACACAGATCGTTATCTATGCCAATGTAACCCTGTGGTATACACAGATCATTTTCTATGCCAAAGTAACCCTGTGGTATACACAGATCATTTTCTATGCCAATGTAAGCCTGTGGTATACACAGATCGTTATCTATGCCAATGTAAGCCTGTGGTATACACAGATCATTGTCTATGCCAATGTAACCCTGTGGTATACACAGATCGTTATCTATGCCATTTAAAGCCTGTGGTATACACAGATCATTGTCTATGCCAATGTAACCCTGTGGTATACACAGATCGTTATCTATGCCAATGTAAGCTTGTGGTATACACAGATCGTTATCTATGTCAATGTAACCCTGTGGTATACACAGATCGTTATCTACGCCAATGTAAGCCTGTCGTAACTGTGTCGTGTTTCAGAGGTGCATTTCCACAGGCAAGGAGGAGGCCATCCCACTGACGTACGGCCGCAACAGGGAGGAGTATGACAAGATTGTGGAGAGGGTGATGTCGGACAAGGCTGTCCAGGCCGCCGTGGAGAGCCTCCAGGAACGCTGGAAGATGATCATGATTATGCACGAGGACTGCATGCAGATGGTGGAGGACTGGGACGACCGGCAGTTGAAGAAGGCTCAGGCCATTGATGTGTTTCAGCTCCTCATCGCTGTCATGATAGCCGTGTCGGTCCTAATCCCGGTCATGTGTAGTGTCTACAAGTGGGGATGATGATGCTGCTGCTGATGATGATGCTGCTGCTGATGATGATGATGCTCATGTGGATGGGACTATGGTTGCAGATGCAGGTTAAGTCTTACGCAATTCCCACACGAACAAAGATATGGTTAGCCATAGGATTTTGATGGTTGGCGTGGCAGACGACAATGGTTCTGGACAAAGAAATGAAACCCTCCAGTCGTCTGAACTTGCAAACGTCGTGGAGAATGATAATTCTTAGCAACGAACGAGTGTGGTAGTGAAAAAATATGTTCAAGTGTAACTTGCGTGTCCCTCGTTGTACAGATGAATATAGCTAGTTACAGTGTGCTAGATGCATGACACTGACTGGAAGCACTAGCCGACATACGTCTCCCGGTGGGTCGGTAATGCATGGCCTCCCTCAATGGAAGCCGATATGTCAGCGAAAGACTGTGACAAGGCGTACATCTGTGAACTTTGCGTGAGTGAGTCATTTACCCCTTGAAGCCGACTCCAGATATATCACCACGGGGCGGAAAGGGCATAACACGTGGGAAATCAAACCCGGATTTTCGGCTTGACGAGCAAACACTTTCACCACAAGCCTACTCCGCCGCCCCCGAGTGGACATTGCAAATGGCCTGACTACTTTACTTACCAGCATGACAGGGGACGGTAGACGTGTTCCGTGTTATAACATCACATAATAAACAGACACTAAACTTCAACTTGGCTGTTCTCGTAGAATCAAGACGAAACATCTTCTGTGAATTCGTATTTCAACTATTTGTCTTGTGACATTATTCACTTTTGTCCAGGATAGATTCGCGATATGACATGTGTAACGAAGTGGGGGGTGGGGGGTGGGGTGATATTGGATTGGGTGCTGTCCGTCCATCAGCATGAAGTGAGAGGGGATATAGGAGTGGATGCTGTCCGTCCATCACCTGGAGGGAGAGGGGATATAGGAGTGGGTGCTGTCCGTCCATCAGCATGAAGTGAGAGGGGATATAGGAGTGGGTGCTGTCCGTCTATCACCATGAAGTGAGAGGGGATATAGGAGTGGGTGCGCTCCGTCCATCACCATGAAGAGAGAGGGGATATAGGAATGGGTGCTGTCCGTCCATCACCATGAAGAGAGAGGGGATATAGGAATGGGTGCTGTCCGTCCATCAGCATGAAGTGAGAGGGGATATAGGAGTGGGTGCTGTCCGTCCATCACCATGAAGAGAGAGGGGATATAGGAATGGGTGCTCTCCGTCCATCACCATGAAGTGAGAGGGGATATAGGAATGGGTGTTGTCCGTCCATCACCATGAAGTGAGAGGGGATATAGGAGTGGGTGCTGTCCGTCCATCAGCATGAAGTGAGAGGGATATAGGAATGGGCGCTGTCCGTCCATCAGCATGAAGTGAGAGGGGATATAGGAATGGGCGCTGTCCGTCCATCACAATGAAGTGAGAGGGGATATAGGAGTGGGTGCTGTCCGTCCATCACCATGAAGAGAGAGGGGATATAGGAATGGGTGCTGTCCGTCCATCACCATGAAGAGAGAGGGGATATAGGAATGGGTGCTGTCCGTCCATCACCATGAAGTGAGAGGGGATATAGGAATGGGTGCTGTCCGCCCGTCCGTCCGTTTCGTTTCCGGAAGATAACTCGGAAACCATTTTAATATTATATTACGAAACATGCTGAACTGGTGATTTTTGCTGTTTCCTTGGAAACCAGTGACCCTTCCTTGCACAGTATGTTTGGTTGTTTGTTTAACGCCGCACTCAACAATCTTCCAGCTTTATGGCAACGGGCTGTAAATAATCGTGTCTGGACCAGAAAATCCAGTGATTGATATGAGCGTCGATCTCCGCAATTTGGATACGATGACATGCACCAACCAAGTCAGCGAGCTTGACCACTCGATCCCGTTAGTCGCCTCTTACGTCAAGCATAGTCGCCTTTTACAGCAAACATGGCTTGCTCAATAAAGATTGGGGTTCAGTCAGTCCTAGTGATGCCACCCACACCATAACCGATCCATCGACAGATCTGTCATGAGGTCTCAGGTTGACTTTGGCTTGACGTTCATTTCGACGTCGCCATACACGACCACGCCTAGCAAGTGTGAAGTGAATCGGGACTCATCTGAAAACATGACACGTGACCAGCGACTTATTGTGCACCATTGACGGCGTTTAGCAATAAGACGATGTGTAAGGGGCGGCACAACACATGACGCATGGAGGTAATCTGCGCGTAGACGATTTCTACAGACCCGTAAATCACAACTGTATCATAAGCAGATTCGATCAGATCGACAGTAATAATGGTCCACGGAGATTAACCGATCTTCCTTGAAACTGTCAAGATCAGGAATGACACCCGTCGCACGTGTGTGGCGCGAGGCACGTGCAAACTGTAGGATGTGTTTGTAAGGTTTTACAGTGAGTGAGTTAGATTTTACGCCGCTTTAGCAATATTCCAGCAATGTCACGGCGGGTGGTTTTACAGACACAAACGTTCTTGCATAGAATGTTTATCGTCAACACTTTTCTTTATTCTAATACTTGATATTAACATTTATATATTATGACCAACCTACTTTATAAAGAGTATATGCACACCATCATCGGAGGCCCGTGATGATCGGGGATAGAATAGGTCTTCAGCAACCCATGCTTGCCATAAAAGGCGACTATGCTTGTCGTAAAAGGCGACTAACGAGATCGGGTGGTCAGGCTCGGTGACTTGGTTGATGCATGTCATCTGTCCCATTTGCGTGGATCGATGCTCTTGTTGTCAATCACTGGATTGTCTGGTCCAGACTCGATTTATTACAGACCGCTGTCATATAGTTGGAATATTGCTGAGTGCGGCGTTAAACACCAAACCAAACCATCAGTGGACAAGCAGTGGCCATCAGAGGTAACATTTGGCAGTTCACACGCTTCCTCTCTTGTACAAGAACATGGTAGCTCACCACTGAGGGACCCCTGGATGTCCCTGACCAATCTATGGAAACTGGTAGCAGCAGCTTCATGAATCAAGGACAAATAACAAATTGTACAAAAAAATAAATATTTTATTCCCGATCAGTCCTTGAGATGTTGAAGTACTGTACACAACCCTTCAATATATCCACACATTGCACCCTGGCTTGAGCAAAGCTTAGACATTATATTCCATAGCCCAGACAGAATATACAGCAAATGAGGCCAATAAGGTCTTTAGGATCTAGTTTCTAGATGACATCACCTTTCTGTGTCGTTACCCCTTTCATATACAGAAAAGTAAACTTGTAATACAAACGTGTAGCCATGCCACAGAAGTATGTTTGAATTATCTCCCCTGTATGGTCACAGATAATCTTTAATCCCCCCCCCCCCCCATCACAGGTAGATAAAACGAGGAACAAAACACCTTTCTTTGGCCTATTTATTTTATATAGCCTTCTACTGCTGGGTCTATGCACCTGTAATCCCTCAAATGAACACAATCTAAAGCCTCACTGCTATTACCTAGTATTGACTGGATTTCTATTTATAGGAGTGAGTCAGTTGGGTTTCAGCAGCTTTTAATAGTTATATCGCAGCGTGTCAGCTTAATGTGGGAGGAAAGCCCCAAGTGATGTTAATATATCTACTCCTACATACTACATTCTTAAACACTGATTGGAACATAGGTGCTAAATGAACACAAAGAAATGTTTTAAGATAAACATCTCCACCATCAATTCCAGGCTCCTCAACACCTGACTAGCACATAAATGATTTGTTGAGGCCCAATCCAAAATCAAAATAATATCTATAATTATATGGACTTCAAATATCTATCGTATAGTATATAAAACAGGCTGTTTGTTTCTTAAGCATCAGTGTGGCTGGTTAAGTTAATTCTAAGCAGATTAAAACATGACCAACAACAGTTAACTGATGACCTCGCCCTGATACATATACTGTGCAGTTATCCCGCGTATCTAATCACAAGGAGAGGAGTTACACTAATCAACACCTTGAATCTTCCCTTCATATACACAACTCTGGAGAAGTTCAAGATTTTGTCCAGGCTCACACAAAGGCACCCTTGATACCTGGCATGTGGAAGTCTTGGATATACTCATGGAAATAATAAAGGGAACATGTATAAAGTACTTGTTATAACCTCTTGTATGTACCAGAGGGTGAATGGAGGTTGTTTGGCAATAACCTCAGTAAAGAATGAAGCCAGCAGTGTAATGTTGTGTGATTCGAGAGTTCCCAAGTTTATGTGTGGCCCTTCTGGACCTCATCTACATTGCTTGCAGGAACTAAGCAGGAAGGAATCTCTTCAATCAAAGCTGGAGGAATCATTCACAGGTTCTTGAGGGCTTAAACAATAGTGTTGCACTTCATAAAACCACAGTATATTTTTCCCTTCTACATACCAACTTATACTTTTCCTTGATACCTAAAACAGTATAGTTTCCCTTGATACCTAAAACAGTATAGTTTCCCTTGAAGCATACCACAGAATATTTTTCCATGAAACATACCACAGTATATTTTCCCTTGAAACATACCACAGAATATTTTCCCTTGAAACATACCACAGCATTTTCCCCTTGAAACATACCACAGTATATTTTCCCTTGAAACATACCACAGAATATGTTCGCTTGTAACATACCACAGAATATTTTCCCTTGAAACTAACCACAGTATATTTTGCCTTGAAACATACCACAGAATATGTTCGCTTGAAACATACCACAGTATATTTTCCCTTGAAACATACCACAGTATATTTTCCTTGAAACATACATCAGTATAATTTCCCTTGAAACATACCACAGAAATATTTTCCCTTGAAACATACCACAGTATATTTTGCCTTGAAACATACCACCCACAGTATATTTTGCCTTGAAACATACCACAGTATATTTTCCTTAAAACATACCACAGTATATTTTTCCTTGAAACATGTTGGTAACATTATCCTGAACCACCACAATCTAGGGCATTCAATAAACAGTGCATCATAAAATCTGGAATATTGAAACACTGAGTATATTTGAATATACATGCATATCAAAACTGCTATTTAAAACAGCTATAAACACGTCATGCCCATGAAAGCACAGGTTATTATGACAAACTGAAAGAAGCGGTACTAAAACTGTTGACCTCACAGAAAACATAATACGAATGTCACGTACATGTTTGAAATGCCATGACAGGACGGAAAAAATACAATACGTAATGAATCATCACATTTCTACTTGTAGTTTACTGTGTAGCAGTGTTCAAACAAATCTCCAGTCTAAAATGGGGAACCTCTTGATGACTGTTATGGAGATATTCATATGAATAGTTCATCTCTATGTGTGCTATCCACGTCTGTTTCTTTTTAGTTTTGATAATTACACATATATGTACGTATTTAACAAATAATAAATACTTATGTTCATGACTATATTTACCTGGCCGGAGAGAAACTGGTGTTTTCACTTATCTGGTGACAAATCCGAGAGTATTTTTAGGAACTGCACAGGGATATAACAGTACAACACAAACATCAACAGGAATTATTGTCCACACAACTGCTTAACAATGTCAGTAGTAATGTAACATTCACACTTCATTACAAATAATTTTAAAATACATAATGTGTATTGGAAAAGCATGCGGTACAACTATTTAATTGGGCTCCAGATTTTGTAGCCAAATACCCTTCACAGGACAACCTCAGC